CTATATTCCCATCCACCCATTTGACCTAAGGTCGTCTATGAAAATATTCTAAAATGAAATTAGAATTAGTGAAAATAAGTAAGTGTAAATCAGACAAGATATGAATGTTTCTGCATCATTCCAGTCGACCCAGCTATAAATGGGTACGGAAAGTTCGGGATAGATCTTTACCAAGAGGTTTGACCAAGGATCAGCTGGTAGAAAGGATCCTAAACTGTGAACTTAAGTTTTTATCCTTGTAAAATATAGTTGTTTATTACTTTCAACCACAAAATTACATGTACTTATTTAGGAATATATGATAAATATATTTGTATTGTCACAAGAAATGATGTTTTGTAGAAGCTTGGTTCTGACAAGAAAACATCTAAACATACTGACTCACATAAACCAAGAAGTTTAAACAAATCAAAGGCGGTGGACAGTAAACAACAACACAAGCAGAGTTCCTCCTCGTCCAATTTAGACAAGTAAGTAATCTCAACTTCTAGCTAACCATCTAGTGTGAAAGTTCCGCCCCGTTTGTTAACGTAAATGAGCAAGAATTGCTGAATGATCTTTTGGTGAATTTTCTGTAAGAAACCTTATCGCTATTATAAATAGAAAGAGAATATTCTATATCCAGTTAGTCGAAGATAATGTACCAATTTACAGGGCATACTTTAAAATAATTATATCACAGTTGTAAGAGTTGAATGGTGACAATATTTTTAAATCTGTTTTTGAAAAAGTGACAACCGTAAGACTTTCAACAAGATTTACTCCCAACATTGATATCAATATAAAACCAAAACTGGCTTCACAATATTGATAGAATCTAGACATAGTTGATTACTTGGACACCTGATTTATTCCAATTACCGTTTTAAAAAACTGGTACAATTTTATTGTAAGCTTTACTTATATTCATGTTTTTATTTTTTTATTTCAGGGAGGATGGTATCATGTGACAAACAAAGTCTTATTCCACCCTAACAAGTTTTTACACTGGTCAAAAACTGAAGAAACCATCTAATACATGTACAGTTGTATAAAACATACCAACATCTGTACAGTTGTATAAAACATACCAACATCTGTACAGTTGTATAAAACCTACCAACATCTGTACAGTTGTATGAAACCTGTCAACATCTGTACAGTTGTATAAAACTTGTCCGCCAATATATTTTGGATATTTTTATTTTTATTTTTTGGGGGGAATTAAAAAAATCCTGTTTCTTGTTCTAGCTACGTCACTTCCTCGTCAACAAACTACTCTTTGATTTTCAAGACTTTAAAGAATTAGCATGTGTAGAAGTCGAAAGTAATGAATGGAAATTAATTAGGGTTTAATATCCTTCTTTTTCGGACAATGCTAAGAAGTGTGCAATAAGAAACCTTTCGATTTGAAATTTGACTTAGTAGCTCACATGGTGACTATTTTTACCTAGTAGGCCTACTATTTATGATGTACGTTAAGATTTAAGAAAATGTAATCATCACAAGTAGACACGTGACATCATGAATATCTATAATTTCGGTCCCTAATACGAAGTTAACCTACTAAAGTGAAACACGGTATAATATGTAGAGAAGGTACCTATAATTTTTTTACTTATTGATGATAATATACTTATTGTATGATATTATCTGATTTAATGTGAAATATGTTTACTATTTTAAAACAAAGGGTTAAGTCATGTGACCTTATAACCTTGCTTTGATTGGACAATTTGTGATATACATTGTTTATTTACTGTGAATAATTATTTCTGTTGTTCTTTAGTACAGCGATATTTGTGTACATCCGGGTGCTATTCAAAACATTAATCGCAACATTTCACTTTACACAAACAGTTCACTTTACACAAACAGTTCGCTTTACACAAACAGTTCGCTTTACACAAACAGTTCGCTTTACACAAACAGTTCACTTTACACAAACAGTTCACTTTACACAAACAGTTTATTTTACACAGTTCACTTTACACAGTTCGCTTTACACAAACAGTTTATTTTACACAAACAGTTCACTTTACACAAACAGTTCACTTTACACAAACAGTTCGCTTTACACAAACAGTTCGCTTTACACAAACAGTTCGCTTTACACAAACAGTTCGCTTTACACAAACAGTTCGCTTTACACAAACAGTTCGCTTTACACAAACAGTTCACTTTACACAAACAGTTCACTTTACACAAACCAGTTCACTTTACACAAACAGTTCACTTTACACAAACAGTTCGCTTTACTCGGTAGTTGAATTAAAAAAAACAATGTAAGTTGAGTCTGATAGATTTAATTTCACTAAAAAATAAATTGTTCATGTTTTGAATTGCATCTCGATTTTCATTAATATATTTGCTGGACTATAAATAATCACATCCCGGGAGAATTTAAAACTAAAAGACAAACAATTCATTTTATATTTGGGTAGAATAAATAATAATTGATACTATAACTTCCAGACTTCTAATATACTCTGTAATCACCTATTCTACTTCTTATTAAAATGAACCTGTTATTTTTATGTTTTAAATTCTCTCAGAATGTCTGATGTTTTATTAATTTAAGATTAAAATGTTTTGTTGGCCTCAGATGAGTGAATTGTTGGGAGATGAACCAAACATTGTCTTGATGTTTGTATCGTCACAATATCAAACTATTACCAACTTCGTCTTATACCTTGACTGCACTACTAGTCACTATTCTTGTGTGATGGAATGAAGCGATTTGATTGGATAGTACGCCAATCAGAGCCCTCGACAGAAAGGCTTAAAATTATGGCTTTGTGGTCACAGATTTTCAAGAAAGTTGACTATGGCAGTCAGAAGTAAGAGGTTTGTAATAACTTGACATTGTGAAGATGTATAAGATGAAGTTTGTAATATTTTGATATCGTGAAGATGTAATGTTTGTAGATCAATCAACATTTATCGATTATATTTATGTGGGAATATCGGCTTCAAAACAGTTCTGACAACTGACGCATGAAAGCACTGAACGAGTTATCAGAATTGTTGGTTTTTTGAGGAATAATGAAAGAGCCATTTTAAGAACATAATTTGCTTAAACAGAAATCAATTTTTACTGATTTACAATTATACAAAACATTTCGCTCTATTAAAATATTTACAATGTAAACTATATATTTTATAATATTATTGATATACTTCCTCATGTGAAAACTTCAGTAGCTGCTACCAATGTCTGGCTAATATTTTGTTTGGATTTCGGGTTTCATTCTGCAGTCTTGATCATTAGTACTTGGTTTATTTAATATATTTATATGAACGTTAAAGATGGGTTCCCTTATTTTCATTTATGAAAATGAAAATGCTTATACTTATATGAATAGAAAGTAGAGGTGTTCTAATGACTTGGAAAAATACCTGAATTCCAATGAGTGACCGATTAAGAGAGGTCGAGAAGTCTTTTTTTGTTTATCCAGACTGTTCATACATTTATGATTGGTTAAAACTGTAAATATAAGGAACTCCGTCTGGGACTATCAGTACTATTTTGAAGTTGATATTTGAATTAATATATAACTATTCAGTTGACCTACAATTCAGTTTACAGAGACTAGTAAGACACTAGTCAGACTCTAGTCAGAGACTAATAAGACACTAGTCAGACTCTAGTCAGAGACTAATAAGACACTAGTCAGAGACTAGTAAGACACAAGTCAGAGACTAGTAAGACACTAGTCAGACTCTAGTCAGAGACTAATAAGACACGAGTCAGAGACTAGTAAGACACTAGTCAGACTCTAGTCAGAGACTAATAAGACACTAGTCAGAGACTAATAAGACACTAGTCAGAGACTAATAAGACACTAGTCAGACTCTAGTCAGAGACTAATAAGACTCTAGTTAGAGACTAATAAGACACTAGTCAGAGACTAGCCAGACACTAGTAAGACACTAGTCAGACTCTAGTCAGAGACTAATAAGACACTAGTCAGAGACTAATAAGACACTAGTCAGAGACTAATAAGACACTAGTCAGAGACTAATAAGACACTAGTCAGACTCTAGTCAGAGACTAATAAGACTCTAGTTAGAGACTAATAAGACACTAGTCAGAGACTAGCCAGACACTAGTAAGACAAATCAGACGAAAGAACTTGTTATTGACAATTCACTCATTTAGCCGACATGATTGAACGATTGATATTTTATTAATGTCAAGATATTTAAGTAATTCTCCAGTATTTTCTGTTAAAATCAAAATAAAACTGGTTCATTGATTAAATTCTTGTAAAATACAGTCTTGTTTTTTTGTTTTTTTGTAACCAGCCCAATGTGCCAAGGGGGTGGTCGCATTTGCATGGGGTACAAAATAGCTGATGGAGACTGATTTCCATTGAGAATTTGTTCTAATTTTGCAGGGGTGTCTGTATATACTTCACATTGAGTGAATTAGTATATTTAGTATAATTTTATACGCAAATCATCGTCTTGTCTATTTTAGTCTAGAACAAGAAATGACCGATTTACTAAACTTTGGAGAAAATCGCTTGCGATCTACCACCCTATTGTTAAGACTGATAATCCAATGATGTTGTTTACAGAATGTTCAGGGTATTTAAAGTGCTGTTGTACCTAGACTATAATAGGTAGGAACCTGAAATTTGAAACAATACAATTTCATAATCTTAAGGTGTGAATAGACGAGGTACGATGCGGAATAATCGATACAAATGAAAATAGAAGAACACTCGAGGTACGGGTCCGGACACGATGCGGATACGATTGGTTTCTTCTATTTTCTGCTGTATCGATAAAGCCGCACCGGACATCGTACATCGTTTATTCGCACCTTCAATCATAGAGAGCAGATTGTAGCCCTGATAATATTCCGGTTGAATGTCCTACCCGGCCCAGGTGTATAGTTTTGGTTCTAAAATTGCAAACGAGATTAACAAAGAGCAAAAAATGAAATATCAAGTTTGAAGATATAGGTCTATATAGTGAATCATGACAGTTACTGGTTCAATCAAGATCAATCAAACGCTATATACATCACAAATATGAACAATCAAAGCTACAGAATTTATTTGTAGTCTGAATCTAAAATGGGAGATAACCAACTTTAACAGAGTTTTCAGAAAGAAGGTAAAATTCGTCGTCCATTGAAACAAAGATGGCTTCTTAATCTTAGAAAATAGAAGTGAAACAAAAAGAAATAGTAATTATAACGGAATATTTATACTTTATTGAATTGCATTATTGACGGAATTCAGGGAAATGATTTGAAGTTTGTCTCTGAACCCATATTTTGGTCTACATTGATGAGACAAACGTCCGACTGTCCGACCACATGACATGGCCTTATAATATTTATAGAATAAACTTTACAACCTTATCGATTTGTCAAACAGTTTTTTGGTTTTAATTAAATTTTCTGAGAGTCTGAAAATGTATCTATTGTCTGAGCTAATCAGATTTTACATTAAATTTCTTGTAGCATCAAAATTTTCCTATCACTACCTCGAATAAAACATGCAGAAAAGTAGGACGTAAAACTCATTTCATTTTCGAATAAAACAAACAATTAATAAATTGACTATATCAATTTTGTGATAATATTTAGATATTTTTATTTTGTATATCTATTGCAATCTATTTATTAGAGTAATAATAATTTCCAGACTCACCAAGATGTACAGTAAAGGAGATGACAGTAAAAAACGTGGAATTGGTTTCGGTGGTTTCTCTATTAAAAAGAAGGAACCAGAAAGGTCATTGGATGCATCCAACAGTTTTGGTACGTTATCAGGAATGGGTGGTTCAAAAGCCAACAGAATGAATCCAGGCAGAAGTTTAAGTTATTCTTTAAACATTGGAAAAAAACGAGTCAAATGTGAAGACGAGTAAGAAATGTTATTTTATATTTATATTTCTATTTTTAATATCTATGTTTACAGTAAACACAATCATGTCTATCACGAGTTGCCTACCTGACACTTGACAGGTGTCTTAATAGGAAGGGACATAACTCTAGTTATGGAATGGCATGTTTCAACTATCTGGAAATTCGTTAAACCGCACGAATAGAAACAAGGCTCTACTGTATATAGGTCCTAGCTCAATGAAAGTTGTAAGAAATGATATTTGTTCATTTCAATTGTTGTTTGAAAGTGAAATTCCTAGTTTTGAGATATTTTTGAAGGAATGATGTGATTTGCGTATATTTCTAGTTCTCTATTTACAAATAATCAACCCCCGAAAATGGCCAACCATTGCTGTTCACTACTATTGCTGTTTATTACTACTGTATGGTTGTAGTTATGTTTATCATTACTCTTGTTATTAGTTTTATTTTTTGTATCTTGTAGTTATTTTGAAGATGATGATGATGAAGTAGCCCCACCCCCCAAGGATGATGATTCGGATGAGTACAACCCTGAGGCAAACCACACCCCAGAGAAACCAGCTGACAGTGATAGTGATGACCCATTAGATGCTTTCATGCAGGGAGTTGAGGTCAGTAGGACATCTTGTTATGTATTTTGTATTTTATTATTAAAAAGAGAAATCAGATCAAGGAGTGGGATGGAATCAGTTGTTCTAGAAAAAAGAAAATGTAGACAAGGTTTCTTTCAGCTCTATGACAAATATTTTATTTCTTTTTTAGCAAGAATTAACTGAAACAGAGAGGAAAGAATTTGAAAGAGACAAGTAAGTTAAAAAGATAAAATATTTAATTCAGAACCTGAAACAAGTTAATTGTCTTAAACTTTAGCTAAAAACCCATGACCATAACTTGCCTTCTATTGAAAGGTTACAGAATAGTTATATTTATATAGAACAAAAAATACAAGAGAATATATTATGGTATATCACACTTATAACTTATAACAGAAGATTGTTTATATTTATATTAGGGGTGTACGAGAAGATATAGAAACAGAGATTGTACATGTAGTTTGTTATAAATTGTAGGGGTGTACGAGAAGATATAGAAACAGAGATTGTACATGTAGTTTGTTATAAATTGTAGGGGTGTACGAGAAGATATAGAAACAGAGATTGTACATGTAGTTTGTTATAAATTGTAGGGGTGTACGAGAAGATATAGAAACAGAGATTGTACATGTAGTTTGTTATAAATTGTAGGGGTGTACGAGAAGATATAGAAACAGAGATTGTACATGTAGTTTGTCATAAATTGTAGGGGTGTACGAGAAGATATAGAAACAGAGATTGTACATGTAGTTTGTTATAAATTGTAGGGGTGTACGAGAAGATATAGAAACAGAGATTGTACATGTAGTTTGTTATAAATTGTAGGGGTGTACGAGAAGATATAGATACAGAAGATGTACAGGAGGCGTATTTCCGGTTTATGGAAGAGAACCCAGAGTTTGGTGTTATTAAGGATGATGAAGATGAATATGATTATGACAGTGATGGAAATGTTATTCCCAGAGAAAAATCCAAGGTTTGCCAACAAACAGATAACTATCAACTTCTTTTTTTTCCGTTTTATTCACTTTAAAAAAAGATTTAGCAAACCCAAGTAGTTACGAAAACCGAAATCCAAAACAACATACTGGCAAAGCAAATCCTATCCAGCCATAGATATATAGGTTCAGTAAATGAAAATAGAGGTGATAATACAACTTTGTCGTGCAGAATCCAAAAACTATTGTCCAAATTCGCACTCCCAACTCTCTCTTTCAATCACGTGATATTCCACCATCTTCCCCCATGAAACAATGAAAACTGTCTGATATATTGTATGTTATACAATAGAACTTATTCACAAGTCAGCCATATTGAATCCAGAATGAGGCTCATAATAAAAACAAACAAAGGTAGCGTGGTGTCACTGCAGTAAAATTGTCACCTTGACGTCTTTAAAACCTCCTTCTCCAATCCCACTAACTCAAAACTAATCATATTTTACATCCTAGTATTTGGAATTGATTCAGCTATTTAATGATAGTTTTACATGAATTTTACCTTCACACATTTCTGAGAAAGGACAGTTTTAAACCTATTTGCTTGCTGTTCATCACGTGTGTCTACAGACGTCACATAGGCTATTCTTTAATATGACGTCACCATTTATCAATCAATGAAGTAATTTGTGTTATGAACCTAGAGGCGTGAAGGCGTGAATATGGTTTATAACTGTAATGTGTAATATTTGACAGTATTTATTATATAAGATAAATAATTAAACTATATTTCTAGATGATTGATCCTCTACCACCAATAGATCATTCAGATTTTAATTATCAACCATTTGAGAAGAATTTTTATAACGAACATTCAGAGATATCAACTTTATCTTCTGATCAGGTTAACGACCTACGACACAAACTCTCCATTAAGGTAAGATCAGGGGTTTGTCTTCAAGTTGAAGAAGTTCATGAAAACTCCCATGTAAAGCACTGGCCAAGGTTACAAATAAAGAGATCTGCTAGATATAAACTAGTGTGGAGTTATCAGAGTTAGTATTTAGTTTTGTAGAGTGATTAAGAGTGAGATAAGCTAGTCTTATAAGATTTGAACGAAATATTTTGTTATATAGAGAAGTTCCTAAAAACTTGTAAATAAAGCATTGGCCAAGATCACAAATAAAAGAAATCTGTTAAAAAAAAAAAAATTGATACTAGAGTGGAATTTATCTGATCGTTATTTTTTGACATTGTACTTCAGTAACTACATCAATATAAATTCAATACTAATCCCCATTCCACAAATAATCTCACAGTAACAATTTATTTATTGTTTTATATATAGTATAGGACTGGGTATTGATTAGCAAATTAAGATCGATTATTGTTGACAGACTACCGATCAATAATCGATTAATAATCAAAATATTTTAAATGAGAAACCGTGTAAATACTCAATTAAAAACATGCCAAAATTTTGCGTCGTATATTCTTGTTTTGATCAGTTATTATAGTTTATTGTGGGTATGTTATGTGCTGAAGGGAATCTATGTGGAAGAGATTACTATTTGTTAACGGGTACAGTGGAGAAAATGTAACTTTGACGTATAATCGAAATTATGAATTCCTATCGATGATAATCGATTATTTCAATCATTTCACCCTACCCTAGTTATAAAGATATACAACACTTATAACTAAGTTGATTGTAATATTTATTATGAAACAGGGCCAGGAATATAAATTATATGGATAACATCTTGTTATAACAAATGACATTTCTACAATGATAGTCTCAACGCTCTAGTGTTAATCAGTCCTCAGTCCTGAATAAGTTATAGTAACAATATAATTTCAGGTATCTGGATTGGATCCTGCTAAACCAGTGTGTAGTTTCGCTCATTTTGGTTTTGATGAACAATTATTATCAGCTATAAGAAAATCTGAGTACACCCAGCCAACTCCTATTCAATCACAGGTCAGTGAGTCATTCTTACTCTCTAGGGGTCTCAGGCTAGGGGTACGGCATGGACTCCATTTAGGGTGGTAATGTTATTAGGGGTAGGGCATGGGCTCTATTTAGGGTGGTAATGTTATTAGGAGTAGGGTGTGGACTCGATTGAAATTGTAATATCGCAGAGAGCCATAAATCAGATAATATAAGTATTTTCTATTTCTATAGGCTATACCAGTTACTCTAGGTGGTAGAGATATTATATATCTATTTATTTCTATAGGCTATACCAGTTACTCTAGGTGGAAGAGACATTATATATCTATTTATTTCTATAGGCTATACCAGTTACTCTAGGTGGTAGAGATATTATATATTTATTTATTTCTATAAGCTATACCAGTTACTCTAGGTGGTAGAGATATTATATATCTATTTATTTCTATAGGCTATACCAGTTGCTCTAGGTGGTAGAGATATTATTGGTATTGCTAAAACAGGAAGTGGTAAAACAGCTGCGTTCCTGTGGCCGTTATTAATTCATGTTATGGATCAGAAAGAATTGGAGCCTGGTGAAGGACCAGTAGGATTAATTTTAGCACCAACTAGAGAACTTTCTCAACAGGTAGATCTCAGTCTATATTATTTCTCTGCCATGATTAGATATTAAGAAACATTTATTTGTGAATTTCCCAATCCAATTTGTTTGAAGATACAGTCTAACTTGTTCTAACAGTCACCTGTATTCAGCACCACCCTTTAATGAACGGCCACCAAAAATACATCCAGTGCAATTTTCAACCAACTTTACCTCTATTCAACACCACCCTCTTGACACGGCAAGCAGTCACCATTTTCTTAACACTAAACACATGTCACCCTGCAATCAACGGTCATTTATAGATAATCCTTGTTAATCCCATAAATGAATGTATTTATTAAATATTTTATATTTTGTTTATTTTAATTTATATTTTTTGGGTATATTTGAATTTGTTTGTAAATTGTAGATTTATCAGGAAGCGAAGAAATTTGGTAAAGTTTATAATATTAATGTGGTGTGTGCCTACGGTGGGGGCAGTATGTGGGAACAGTCAAAAGCTTGTCAAGATGGGGCAGAAATAATAGTAGCTACCCCTGTAAGTTGTCCCTTTTATCAATCTGATACAGTGTACTCTGGTATATCTGACATCTGTGTATTCCCACATTCTGCGTAATCTGACATCATTGTCTGGCCCTGATTGATTTCTTTCTTAGGCTAGTTAAAAAAACCTCTGAGTACTCCGACACTCTGTGTATTCCGAATTACGACACTAATCAGTGGTCCCGCTTATTGGACACTCCCAGTATATGTCGGATTACGCAGAGTATACTGTATAATTCTTTCAATATGATATAACATAACACTTCCAAATAGCCTAATAAATTTGACTCTACTCAGTTTTTCAGACGTGATTTATAGATATGGTAGGGTCAGATATTTAATGTCACTTTTCAAGGGAGTTGAACCTGATCCAGTTATGGGTTACTAGATTTTTTGATAATTTTCATCTGGGCAAAAACCAAACATTTTGTTTTATCTTGTAGGGTCGGTTGATAGATCTAGTAAAAAAGAAATGTACCAATTTAGAACGAGTAACATATCTAGTTTATGATGAAGCAGATAGAATGTTTGATATGGGATTTGGTAAGTTGTCTTAAAGATTTGTGTTCTCAGAATAGAATCTGTACTTCATTTCCACCACAGATGAACGAGCTTGTTGAAGAACAGTCAACGTTTAACAGAACAGTGTGTGATTGAAAGAGACCCATGGGAGGACCAAGCATTATGTTGTCTTCCAGAATATTGGTCCCGGGAGAGGCCACGGAGTCTGATCCAACCGTTACATCGACCATTGTGCCCCAAATTTCAAGACTCCGAAACCACGCCCCCAGCGAGAGAAGATACCAAGCATTATCAACTCACAATGCACCAACTTTCATTCTCTATCTGTGAAGATCAGGTTATCAGACCAACGATATGACGATGTATTTATTGATAGTTGTGTGATAAATAGATTTCGATTGTGATTATGTAATATAAAATTTATGAAATGAGTTGCCAGATTTAATTATTTAAAAGGCTCGGTAATATGAAATCTTATTTCATAAATTCGATATGACACTCGTTTAAGATCCTCAATATATACGTTTTAAAGACTGTATTATTATTATTATTATTATTATCATTATTGATATTATTATTATCATTATTATTATCATTATTATTATTATTATTATTATTATTATTATTATTATCATTATCATCATTATTATTATTATTATTATCATTATTATTATTATTATTATTATCATTATTATTATCATTATTATTATTATTATCATTATTATTATTATCATTATTATCATTATCATTATTATTATTATCATTATTATCATCATCATCATTATTATCATTATTATTACTATTATTATTATCATTATTATTATTATTATCATCATCATTATTATCATTATCATTATTATTAATATTATCATTATTATCATCATTGTTATTATTATTATCATTATTATTATTATTATTATCATTATTATTATTATTATTATTATTATTATTATTATTATTATTATTATTATTATTATTATTATCATTATTATTATTATTATTTAGAGCCTCAAGTAAGATCTATAGCTGACCATGTTAGACCAACTAGACAAAGTAAGTTAATATTAATTCATTCTAATAATTCTGTTGAAGATTCAGCTCAAGACTGCAAAATGAAACCCAAAACATTGGTAGCAGCTAATAAACTTTTCATATGAGGCAGAATATCAATCATAAGTTAGTAAGTATTCATAATTAAAAGTAGTGTTAATATTATTTTTATGTATTTCAGCTCTGTTATTCAGTGCTACATTCAGAAAGAGAGTAGAGAAGTTAGCGCGAGATATATTACAGGATCCAATACGTATTGTTCAGGGTGAAATAGGAGAGGTTAGTAGATATATTACAGGATCCAATACGTATTGTTCAGGGTGAAATAGGAGAGGTTAGTAGATATTTTACAGGATCCAATACGTATTGTTCAGGGTGAAATAGGAGAGGTTAGTAGATATATTACAGGATCCAATACGTATTGTTCAGGGTGAAATAGGAGAGGTTAGTAGATATCTTACAGGATCCAATACGTATTGTTCAGGGTGAAATAGGAGAGGTTAGTAGATATATTACAGGATCCAATACGTATTGTTCAGGGTGAAATAGGAGAGGTTAGTAGATATATTACAGGATCCAATACGTATTGTTCAGGGTGAAATAGGAGAGGTTAGTAGATATATTACAGGATCCAATACGTATTGTTCAGGGTGAAATAGGAGAGGTTAGAAGATATTTTACAGGATCCAATACGTATTGTTCAGGGTGAAATAGGAGAGGTTAGTAGATATTTTACAGGATCCAACACGTATTTTTCAGGGTGAAATAGGAGAGGTTAGTAGATATTTTACAGGATCCAATACGTATTGTTCAGAGTGAAATAGGAGAGAGTAGTAGATATTTGATGTTTGAGTATATATTTCTGGTCTAGGATACAATATTTATAATATGATTATAGACCAATCTATTGTTATATTAATATTACAGGCCAATGAAGATGTCACCCAGCATATAGAAGTTTTACCTCCTGGACCTGCTAAATGGTCATGGTTAGTAAAACGTCTTGTTGGCTTCACTACAGGTAATTATATATATTTAAATATCTACCTTCAATGAACCAGTTACACAAACTGGTGTTTAATTTAACATAAACTGTAGTTTGTCACGTGACACTATGATGTCGTCAAAACACAACAGTGACATAATCTAAGATTTGTGGCAAATTCAAGGAACGAATTGTATTAATAAAAGTATCTGAATATAAATATATAAATGAATATTTAACGTTGGTCTCACATGCATTATTGGTGTGTAAACACAGTTGATTACTCATTCAGTTTGATCAGTCTAGTTTACACACCAATAATGCTAATCCTTATTTAGACATTTAGAAGTATCACAGCACATTAAGAAACATTAGACTTCTATTTTAGTTCTTTTCCAAGTCATATATAAGGAGTATATTTTTATGGTTGATTATCACTTGAGAATGGTACCTGTATGTGTAATGAAACATTTCTACATTATAGAGGGCAGTGTTATTATTTAATTAAATATTTCTACATTATAGAGGGCAGTGTTATTATTTAATTAAATATTTCTATATTATAGAGGGCAGTGTTTTAATTTAATTAAATATTTCTGTATTATAGAGGGCAGTGTTTTAATTTAATTAAATATTTCTATATTATAGAGGGCAGTGTTATTATTCAATTAAATATTTCTATATTATAGAGGGCAGTGTGTTAATTAATTGAATATTTCGGTATTATAGAGGGCAGTGTTATTATTTAATTAAATATTTCTATATTATAGAGGGCAGTGTTATTATATAATTAAATATTTATATATTATAGAGGGCAGTGTTATTATTTAATTGAATATTTCTATAGTATAGAGGGCAGTGTTATTATTTAATTAAATATTTCTATATTATAGAGGGCAGTGTTATTATTCAATTAAATATTTCTATATGATAGAGGGCAGTGTTATTATATAATTAAATATTTCTATATTATAGAGGGCAGTGTTATTATTTAATTGAATATTTCTATATTATAGAGGGCAGTGTTATTATTTAATTAAATATTTCTATATTATAGAGGGCAGTGTTATTATTTAATTAAATATTTCTATATTATAGAGGGCTGTGTTATTATATAATTAAATATTTCTATATTATAGAGGGCTGTGTTATTATTTAATTAAATATTTCTATATTATTAAATATTTCTATATAATTAAATATTTCTATATTATATAGGGCAGTGTTATTATGTAATTAAATATTTCTATATTATAGAGGGCAGTGTTATTATTTAATTAAATATTTCTATATTATATAGGGCAGTGTTATTATTTAATTAAATATTTCTATGTTATAGAGGACAGTGTTATTATTTAATTAAATATTTCTATATTATAAAGGGCAGAGTTATTATTTAATTAAATATTTCTATATTATTAAATATTTCTATATTATAGAGGGCAGTGTTATTATTTAATTAAATATTTCTATATTATAGAGGGCAGTGTTATTATTTAATTAAATATTTCTATATTATAGAGGGCAGTGTTATTATTTAATTAAATATTTCTATATTATAGAGGGCAGTGTGTTAATTTTTGTCACGAGGAAATCTAACAGTGAAGAATTAGCAGCCAATTTAAAAGCTCGAGATTTTACGTGTAAGTTTCTCGTGTTTGTTATTTCTGTTCAACTTGACTAATATCTGTAAAAATATAACTCGTGTTTGTTATTTCTGTTCAACTTGACCTTCATTAGCCGTATTCTACTGGTTGATATTAAATACTAGGTTATAGATTTCGACTAATATCTGTAAAAATATAACTCGTGTTTGTAGATGAAATTAATATTTTCAAGATCATAATCCTTGAGTCATTGTGATATGGGTAATTTTTTGATTCTTAAAACCATTGAACATCAAGAAATCTGGTTCCTCAATAATATTATTAAAATAATCTTTATATATTTATTATTTGTGTTTCAGTGGGTTTACTTCATGGTGATATCAGTCAGATGGAACGAAATGAAATTATTTCAGCTTTCAAGAAAAAAGAATTCCCAATTTTAGTGGCAACTGATGTAGCAGGTAGAGTTTTTATATCCTTGACCCTTGAGTTTATTGTCAGACTTGCTTTCTACCTGAAGTTCAATAGGCCCTTGCAAAATTCCCTCATTGCACACTGCATGGCATTTTCCGTCTTCATTAGCCTGATCAGGTGTAGAAAAGAAGACGTAAAACTCCATTCATTTCATTCCGTTAAGTGACTATATTGTTTTCGTAGTAAATCAGTAATGTGAAAATGAAGACAACA